AATCGAGTCGGCTATTTTAGCTTTTTTTCAGGCCGCTGCTCCGTGGGGTCCTAGACCTATAATGACTGACCTTGGACTTCCATACCTTGTTGGAAGAACAGGCTCTATGGCTAGAGCCTTAGATGACCTGGCCAAAGATAAAGCTCCTGATCTAGATGGGTTTCCCATTGCCCCCTTCAAAATCTTTGGGGAAACCTTTCGTCCAGATTTCATGAGTTTCTTTATGGAATTTTTCCACTGAGGAATACTCCATAAGCCATTAACGCCACTTTTATTGCTTTGGTCCCCAAGGTAGAAGGGGCAGAGGAACTAAAGGACTTTCGCCCTATCAGTTTGCTCAACTCCTATAAAATCCTGGCTAAGGTGTTGGCCTCAAGATTACAACAGGTCCTTCCCTTTATTATCTCGCCTTCACAGTCGACCTTCATTAAAGATAGGCAAATCTTGGGCGGTGCTCTAGTTGCCCACGAGTGCATCCACTCAAGGCATTTGGCAAAAGAGCCTGGCCTTATCTTTAAGATCGAATGGGAGAAAGCGTACGACCACGTTGATTGGTCCATTATGGATGAGACAATGGCAAGAATTGGATTCCGTGATCGTTGGAGAAATTGGATGAGAGGTTGTTATTCGCATCCGCATTTCTCGATACTCATCAACGGAACCCCAAAAGGATTCTTCCCTTCCTCGAGGGGATTACGCTAAGGGGATCCTCTCTCCCCTTTCCTTTTCGCAATCTCAGTAGAAGCCTTTAGTCGTTCCTTGTCCCGTGTGTACCTGACAAGTCTCCTCATAGGTTTTAAAACTTCTCACCGTGGGCTTATAGTGTCGCACCTGCAATATGCAGACGACACTTTGGTATTCCTTGATGCATCTCCTCAAGAAGTTGATAACTTGAGGTTCTATCTGAAATGTTTCCAAGTGGCCATAGGCTTCAAGGTCAATCTGGAAAAATAAAAAATGATGGGAGTAGCTGTCGCTAATGCCCAAATCAGAGAGCTTATTCCAAATTGGGATCGCAAAGTCGAGGACCTCCCCACAACCTATCTGGGTCTACCTCTGGGCTGGGAATACCAAAAAAGAGACATTGGTCTCACGTGATTGACAAGGTTGATAGGCGTTTGGCTGGCTGGAAGGGGAGAAACCTTTCTCAAGCGGGTAGAATCACTCTAATCAAAGCAACCTTGGGCAATGCCCCAATGTACCACATGTCTCTTTTCAAAGTGCCAACTTCAAGGGCAAATCGGCTTGACCAACTTATGAGGAAGTTTCTCTGGCTAGGACAGGCAGAGAAAACAAAATATCATTTAATTCTTGGGGATAAGGTCTACTTACCCAAACATCAGGGGGCGTTGTGGATCATGCTCCTAAGAAAACACAACTTGGCCTTTTTAAGGAAATGGTGGTGGTGCCTGGCCACTCAGACGGATTCTCCATGGGCTCAAGTACTACGAAGTAAATACAAGATTCCTGAACACACTTGGGTGCCAAAGATGAGATTTTGGAGCAATGCTTCAAAAGCATGGAAGTCGTTCACCTCCTCCCTCGCATTGTTCAAAAAATTCATCAAGCTTCATCCAAGAGAAGGAACAAGAGTGTGTTTCTGGTCAGATCTCTAGCTTGGACATGCGCCATGAAGGGACCTCTTTCCATCCCATTACGCCATCGCGGCAAACAGAGATTCTATAATAGAGGAGGAAATGGTGTCGAAGGGAGGTCGAGGAGTGTGGAGCCCCTCATTCAGAAGAAACTTTTCTGAGGAGGAAACAAACAACTCTCTCTCCCTGTCGGCAACCTTGCACCTTTCTTTCATCCCTACTCTAGGGAGGGATCAGCTAGTATGGTCTCTTGCCTCTACAAGGGCCTTCTCAGTGGCCTCCTCATACAAGAAACTCATCCAAACTCCCACTTTCCCCCCTAAACCCTCCTTCGGTTCTTTCTAAGGTTTGGCATACTATAGCACCCCCTAAGGTGCAGACCTTCAACTGGATAGCAGGTTCTCATAAGGCACT